CACAGAGGGGCCGGAACAAAGCCTAAAGGAGGGAGAAGGAGGGAATTAGACGGGATGTCTTGTGAGTAGCTCTTGGAGCTCTTAAGCTGCCCAGGAATTTTGTTTCAGTTGGCTGCTATGGGTATGTTTTTCTTATTTCTCCCCCAAGCACCAGGTCTCTGACATATCCCTTCCAGCACCATTGGCCTCAGTTTCTTGGTCAGCCAGGCTTATTTTCACACCTCTGTGTAAAATTATTACTGGACTTTGATTGTAGATCCTCCCAAGTAGCATCAGACGGGCATTAGAAAGCAGGGGTCTTTCTCCATTCTTGAGCTGGGTTTTGTCAGGTCTGGTTTGCCCTATTACAGCCGTGCTGGCAGTGCAATCCCAGCGTGGGTCCTGTCTCCTCCCCGACCCCTTAGCTGAAGGGCTGTGAGATGGTGACAACGTCCCCATCCCTTGGCACTGACAGTCGTGGGAAAAGCCAGCAGTATGCAGAGACTGCTGAAGGGGCAAGGACACTCCTATGGAAAGAACACACAGGTATAGACCTGGGAGTTTAGGGTCTGGATACATTTACCAAGGAAGTCCCTATTCTTCATGCCCTCCAAGCAATGGGGAGCACTTGACCTGCTGTTGCTCTGCACATTAAAAAAGTGCAAGTCCTTCAGGCAAAAGCATGGATGGCAGAAGCTGTGGCAGAGCCCAGATAAAGGGCCCCTCTTGGCAAGAGGTGGTACTACCCCATGATACCACTGTATCTTGAAGTAACGGAGAGCAACTGGTCTTTCTCAGGCTGCAGGAGGTTCAGCACGAAGAGCCAAGACTGAAAATAGGGCTGGGAATTGCTATGAGAAGAACTAAAGGTGTAGTTTAGGGGAAAAGGAAAGAAAATACTAGGTCAGTTCTGGACCCTTCAGCAAGGGACTTGGCACTTGCACCCGCAGTGCATCAATGTGAGGAGGCGCAAAATGGTCTTGATTAGTTGGGTTTAGCCAGGTGCCTAAGCCAAGGTTGATCTGTGGAGGGAAGGGTGGGATAAGAGTCACTAGCCACTGCCAGCAGTATCCCTCCTTCCCCACCTCGAGGGACGCTTGCTCCTGGAAGTGCAGAGGGGGTTCTGCGCAGCACCAGGCGTCTGCCACTACCATGGGTCCCTGCAACATTGCTCCACAAACCTTCAGGACCCCGTCAGCCATGGAAAAAAGGGAGCAGGATCTGACTCTGAGCATGGATTGGGGCAGCTCTTCTGGATGGCCATATCCTAACAGCTGTCAGGCTGAACCACAGGGGCCAGCGCAGGCTACTCCAGTCTCTTCCCCGCATCCCAGTTCTCAGGGACTGTGGCAAGGGACAGAAGCATGAACGGAGAACAGGGTGCTGTAAAGACATTTTCAAGGCAAAGAATAATTGCAAGGAAGAAAAGATTAATTGCACACTCTCCAGACACCCTTCCTCACAGCCTTACTGCTGTTATCTGGCTCACTGGCATGTGGACAACCAGGTTGAACTATCTTACTCAGCTTCTGCTGTTACCCACTGGCTGCTCCTCTCCCAGTTCCACCTGACTTACAAGCCAGGTACAGCTGTACAAAAGATGACCTGCTGCAAAAGCACAACGATTTCTCCATCGGTGCTGGTGCTCCACCACTGCACCATCTCCTGTACAGCTACTTCACATAAGAGTGACTGCCACCAAACATACCCTAGGCCTTTTTATCCAAGCCCCTCTCCCAGCCTCACTCTTCTTGATCTCATCCTGCACCACAAATGAAGTAAATCAATCAAACCATTGCAATTCATCGGGATTTTGGGTTTGGGTTGTTTTTTTTCCCAGCCTCCTAGTGAAAAAGTACTTGTCTGGCCATGGCATGCTCTTCAGAGATTTCTGTAGCACCACCTGCCAATGATGAGTCCACAACATCTGATTTTGAAGAGCACACAAATATCTATCAGTACTGTTAGAGTTTGGAGCTGGATAGGCATCTCTGCAACAGCCATTTGCTCAGTGCTGCAGAGCTGGACAGCAAGGCATGAAAGGCTTTTACCTGCCTGCAGTTAGATGTTGGCTGAAAAAGACGAGGTGCACCAGAGGAGCTCACCTCTGGAGATGCCTTCAAGGGCAATATACTATAACACATTTATCCCAGCTCTGAGCTGGGCAGTTCAGAGTTGCTTTGTTCCTAACACTGCAGAACGTGTACTAGCTCTTCTGCTCACTGCTGCACATAGAATCAAGTAGGTTGGAAAAGACCTTTAAGATCATCAAGTCCAACCTTCACCCCAGGACTGCCAATGCTGTATACCCTGCTCCTTCTTTTGCACACTCTACAGGTTGCTATTATTTTCTCCTCAGGAAAGGAGCTTTACTCACAGGTAAAAATACCACGTGTAAGTTCACGTGCACCTAAAAGCTCATCATCACGGGCACCTGTCCTTCCCCGTGCATCGCAGGCAGGCGGACCAGAGCTCCAGAGCTACCTGTGGATGGATGGTAGGACGAGACTTGTGCTGACAACAGAAGTCACAAGCCCAGGTTGGGAGGGCAAAGACCACAGCAGGTTTAGCCACAGCTGCCAGCCCCTGGATGCACACAGAACACAAAGTAGCTGGTGCTGGACGATGCTCAGCAAAGCCCCCCTGTGCCAGGCAAGCTGCATCCATGAAGGTCCACATAAATGCTAGGATGGCCTCTAGTGCCTCCACACAGTACAGATGGGGTGTGGGGTCTATTTAATAAATGCAAGAGCAACGATTCATGCCACCAGCCTCCTCAGCCCACAGACAACACTGGGGGAAAGCTTTTGTCAGAGAATTAAATGAGAGCAGGCCTGGGACGAGCTGTCCCGTTGGCAGCTGGTACCAGGATTCAAGCATCCCTCCATGCCACTAACCTGTGCAATGAAGCGATGACCTCCTGAGCACGGGCTGAGCCTGAGGACTGAGTGGACCAGTCAGCAGCACTTCCCTTCTCCCTCTGGCTGGCACTTCCCAGCACTGGACGAGGGCACAAGGTTAGATGGTCCTGCTAGCTCTTTGCTCCATGGTGGGCACGCCGTCAGCCGGGCAAAGGGCAATGCCTGCAGCAACCCAGAGCCTGTCGAGAGGTCTGTTGTGACCCGCTTCTTTTGGGGTAATTATATCCTCACTAGAGAGCTAACCCCACTCTCAGCCTGCTCTCCTCTGGCTCCGATGCTGCCCGTGGCCAATCCCGGGGGACTGGCTCCGATGCTGCCCGTGGCCAGTCCCGGGGGATGCCCAGTGTGGGGGACCCCCTTGCCTCCTGCAGGTGCAGGTAGTGCCTCACGGCACCCTCAGCATCGATGTGGGTCAGCAGCTGCTTATGGCTTCAGGTCGGCAGAGACCGGCGGGTGCTGAGCGGGCAGA